CGTGCACACGGCGCACTTCGCGGGCGCGGGGTTCGCGCACCGGAGCCGGCACGGGGCCTACGGGGACGCGGCCGAGGAGATGGACTGGAGCGTGGGTGAGCGCGGCGGGGTCATGGGGACATGTGTGTGTTAGCATGTTAGAGCGTGTTAGCGTGTGTCAGCGTGTGTTAACATGTGTTAGCATGTCAGCGTGTGTGTGGGCGGCCGGGGAGATGGAGTGGAGCGTGGGTGAGCGGGGCGGAGTCGGGGGGACATGTGTGTGTTAGCATGTTAGTGCATGTTAGCGTGTTTTAGCATGTTACCGCATGTAAGCGTGTTTGCATGTGCATGTGAGCGTGTGAGCGTGCATGTTGGCATCTGTGTGCTGGACCCTGGAGCATGGGTGAGCGGGGCGGGGTGGTCAGTGTCGGGGACACGTGTGTAAGCATGTTAGCGTGTGCGACTGAGCATGTGTGTCCGTGTGCACACGTGAGTGTGCGGGACCCTGGGGCGTGGGCGAGTGCGGGGTTGGGGTCGGGGTGGGTGACACGTGTGTGCGTGTTAGCATGTGTAAGCGCGTGTAAGCGTGTTCGCGTGTGAGTATGTTTACGTGTGTAAGCGTGTGTTAGCGTGTACGTGTTTGCGTGTCATGCGTGTGCGCAGGTGAGCGGAGCAGGCGGGGGACGGGGTTGTGTGTGCTCGCGTGTAAGTCCGTGTGCGCCAACATGAGCGTGCACGGAGCGTGCTTGTCTACGCGCATGCGAGTCCTAGCGTGTCTCTCACACACATGCGTGTCGGCGTGTGTGTACGCGTGGGGCTGCAACCGTCCACGTACGCGAGTGTGCAAAACACGCAAGCACCCAGCAAAACATGTCTCTTAGCGTGTTTCCCACACGTATGTGAGCGTGCACATCACACATGTGTGTGTTAGCGCGTGTGTGAGCGTGTTAGCGCATGTTAGCGTGTGTCAGCGCGTGTGGCCATGACCATGCATACGCGCTACCGAGTCCCCCAGACACGCACGTGAGTGCAGATCATGCGTCCTGGCGTGTTTCTCACACACACATGTGAGCGCGCACATCACACACGTGTGTTAGCGTGTGCACATGCGTGTGGCCGTGCGCGCTGACACGCGTGTCCCCCCCCCCAGGCCAGATCCTGGACGCGCTCGACCGCCTGGGCCTGGCCAACCACACGCTCGTCTACTTCTCGTCCGACCACGGCGCACACGTGGAGGAGGTCACGGCGCGGGGCGAGGTGCACGGCGGCAGCAACGGCATCTTCCGGGGTGAGCGGGGCGGGCGGGGGCGGAGGACACGCTTACACACGCTTACACACGCCTGCACACGCGCTGACACACGCAAACACACGCGCACATACATGTGCAACCGTGACATTCCGTGTGTTACACATGGCATCTGCGGGGTTTTGATAACGGGTTGAGCAGGTGAGGGTGGGAGGGACACACGCGGGGGCGCGGGACATGCTTACACACACTCACACACGCTTACACGCGCACACACATATATGTCTGTGATTCCGTGTGTTACACATGGCATCTGTGCTGTTGATAACGGGTTGAGCCGGGGCGGGCGGGCTGTGTACACACTTACACACATGCGCAATACATGCTCACACACGCGCACACGCGCGCACATACATGTCCAAGCGTGAGATTCCGTGTGTTACACACTGCACGTGCCGGGTTTTGATGACGGGTTGAGCCGGGTGGGGGCGGGACACACGCGTGGGCCCGGGCGACAGGCTGACATGCGCACACACGCACGAGCAACGTGGATGGGTTTACATGTTTGCAAGCGCACACGCGTGTTTGCATGTTCAAACGTGTGATTCTGCGCACTGTGAACGGAACGGACCAGGGTGACCGCAGTGCACATGGACATGCACATGCGTGTGCCCGCACCGGGTGCGCAGACACTGATGGACCTCGAGGCGCCCACGCATGATCAGCGCACACACGTGTGATCCCATGTTCTTGTCATGTTTTTCACTGTTTTTCTTGTGTTTTTTCCGTGTTCCGTGTCCCTCACGCGTGTGCACCGTCCACATGTGCACGATTCCATGCATACACGCGTGTTTCCGTGTGCCCATGCGTGCGATCCTGTGTTTTTCTCATGTTCTTCCCATGTTCTCATGTTTTTCGCGTGTTCTTCCCGTGTCCCCCGCGCCCCAGGCGGCAAGGCCAACAACTGGGAGGGCGGCATCCGCGTGCCGGGCCTCGTGCGCTTCCCCATGATGCTCCCCGCGGGGTCGGAGGTCGCCGAGCCCACGAGCAACATGGACGTCTTCCCCACCGTGGCCGCCCTGGCGGGGGCCGCGCTCCCCGCGGACCGGTGAGTGGGGGGCGGGGCCTGGGCGGGGCCGGGGCCTGGGGGGGGCGGTCACGCCGACGTCATGTGTGAACACGCGTGACCGGGATTCTGCACACGCGTGTTCTATTTTTTTTAATTTATTTTTATTTTTTTCCCTGGTGGGGGGCGGGACTTCCTGTGGGCGGGTGGGTGGGGTGACGGACAGCCCAGGCTTGGACCCCGACACGCGCACACGCGTGTGCGCCCGTCCCATGAACACGTGTGACCGTGTGTGCGCCCACACGCGTGTTTATTTATCGTTTTTAACCCGGGTGGGGGGCGGGACTTCCGGTGGGCGGGCGGGGTGACTGACAGGTGGCCCCGGGACCTCCACCCATGACCGCGCGTGTGAGGCTGCGCCCCATGTGCACGTGTGACCTGTGGAGCGCACACGCGTGTTTATTTTTTAAATCTTGGGTGTGGGGCGGGACTTCCTGTAAGAGAACTGGATGACTGACAGCTTCAGGGAGTGACTTCCTGTGGGCGGGGCCTCGGGCTGATTGACAGCCGCGCACGGGATCCCCGACACATGTGCGCACACGCATGACCGACCGTGTTTCCGTGTGTTTTTCTCATGTTCTCCCCGTGGCCCCGCCCCCGGCCCCGCCCCCCCAGGGTGATTGACGGGCGCGACCTGATGCCGCTGCTGCGGGGCCGGACCACGCGGTCGGCGCACGAGTTCCTGTTCCACTACTGCAACGCCTACCTCAACGCCGTGCGCTGGCGGCCGCCCAACGGTGAGAGGACACGCTTCGGTCATGCTAAGGTCATGCGACACGCTTAAATCGTGCAACAAGTCACACAACATGCTTAGCACACGCTTAAAACATGCGTAGCACACGCTTACACCACACGGTAGGCTTAGCGCCCGCCCCGCACATGCCTAACGCACAACTCGCACATGCCTAGGACATGCTTAGATCATGCGACACGCTTAAATCATGAAACAAATCACACAACATGTCTAGTAAACGCTTAAAACATGTGTAGCACACGCTTAAAGCGTGCTGTAGGCTTAGTAGGCACCACGCACAAGCCTAACGCACGCCTCACGCACAACTCACACACGCCCAGGACACGCTTTAATCATGCGACAAGTCACACAGCATGCCTAGCGCGCCCTAACACCACTCCATAGTCTTAGCACACGCCTAATGCATGCGTCACACGAGTGTTTGATTTGTTGCACGTGGCCGTGTTAGCGTATCGCGTGCGTGTCTACGCGTACATACATCACACACACGTGTTTCATGTGTTGCATGTGGGCGTGCTTGGTGTCACTCGCGTATTGTTCGCATGTCCGTCGCCCACGCGTGTTTCACGCGTTGCACGCTGACGCGTCAGCGCGTCACACACGCGTGTTCGCGTGTCTATGACATGTTGTTAGTGTGTCACACGCATGTGCGCTCTTCCATACATCGCCCACGCGTGACCCCCCGCCCCGCCCTCACACGCAAGTTCCCGCCTCCCACGCCTGCTTCACGTGTCGCACGCTGACATGTTTGCGTGTCACACCCGTACATACATGACACACTCGGGTTCGATGTGTTGTATGCTGACTTGTTAGCGTGTCACACACGTGTTACATGTAGTTAGTGTGACCACCCGCCCCGCCCTCACACACAAGTTCCCGTCGCCCACGCGTGTTTCATCTGTCGCACGCTGACATGTTAGCGTGTCCCACGCGTGTTGTTGCATGTAGTTAGCGTGTCCCACGCGCGTCACATGTGCTTACCGTGTCCCCCCGCCCTCCCCCCCCGCCCCGCAGACACGGCGGTGTGGAAGGCCTTCTTCTTCACGCCGCGCTTCGACCCCGCGGGCGCCAACGGCTGCTTCTCCACGCACGTGTGCTTCTGCCACGGCGACCACGTCACGCGCCACGACCCCCCGCTGCTCTTCGACCTCTCGCGCGACCCTGGCGAGCGCCG